GCGAGCCCTCGTCTGTCTGCTCCAGGCCTGGATAAAACGGGAGGGATTGGACTGGGGAGCAGAGAGGCTGGGAAGGAGGAGGAGGAGGAACCCCCTTCGTGACCCCCCATGCGCCTCGAGGCGGGGGACGAGGCCGAGCGGTCCCTGCCCTGGGGACACCGAGAGGCTCCCGGCGGCTCCTCTCCAAGGCAGACGCCCACGGAGCAAACCCAGCACATTCGCCAACTCCTAAAGCCAGGAAGAGGCTCATTCATGGAGAATATCCCTTGGGAAAGCGCGTGCAGCTCCGGGGAGCGCCGCATACCCGGAGCCCTCCGGCTCCGCGCTCGGCTCTGCATCCACAAGAAGCAGCCGCTGCTGAGGCAGCTCTTGCTGCTTCCTGCTGCCCGCAGGCATGAGCCCTAACATAACAAAAGGAATATATTCCAATATAGGAATAACAAAAGGCAGGGAGCAAATTCAGTCAGCAAAACACTCGGATGCTGCCCAGGATGCAAGCGAATGGTCTCTCCCGGCAATGCACTCCTCACAATAGATCCCTCTTCCTGCTAGCACTCCAACTCCTCTGCCATATGGGGAGGAGATCTGTTATCCCATTATGCCTTTTCTTGCAAAATTTATTCTCCTTTACAATTCCTGGCCAGGCCCCGAGCAGCAATTGAAATGCAGCTGGTGGAGGCCGAGGCGCAGAGCGGAGCCCCGTGCCACGTTACGGCTGCTCATCCCGCTGCAAAACCCACGCATTCCAGCTGCAAAACCCTGCGCGTTCCCGCCGCGCATCCCGCTGCAAAACCCACGCGTTCCAGCTGCAAAACCCCTGCGCGTTCCCGACGTGCACCCCGCTGCAAAACCCCGCGCGTTCCCGCTGCAAAACCCGCGCATTCCCGACGCTCATCCCGCTGCAGAACCCACGCAGAAAAGCGGCACTGGAGCCCCAAGGGCACCCACAGGCTCCTGGAGCAGAGGGCCGGGGCGCAGAGCCACACGGGAGCATCCCGACACACCACAAACACAACCGGGTTCTCTCGTGCACGGCTCCTTTTTACAGAGTGATTTTTTGTCACCTCCTAATTCCCGATCCAGCCCTGGTGTCCGAGCAGAGCCACGCGGGGAGCTGCGGGTGTTGGAGCTTCACGGCCCCGGGGCCCTTAGCAACCATCCCTATAAACCTGATCCTGATGGGCACGGGGTGGGAAAACAGCCCTGAAGCGGAGTAGGGGCAGCTCTCGCTTCAAGGCTTTCAGGTAGTGGTTTTTAAAAAAACACTGAATGCATAAGACAGAATTATGATTAAAAGCAGCCGGCAAATTGCACAGTAAGGAAGTAAGTATTTTTTCTCCATACCTAAAACAAAGCACTTCTGAAAAATCAGTATAATTGCAACTTAGTACCTCCCTCCCTGCCCTTTTGCTTTAAATCTCCCCTCTTCTCCAGCTCAGCCCAAGAGCTCCTATTTTACCCATCTTCCTCGGGATGCCAGGGGCCACCTCGCTGCATCCTGCCCGGGTGCTCCAATTTCCAGGGTTGTGCTGGAGCTGGAAGGGGCAGAGCCTCTCTGCGAGGGGCATTCTGCAATGCAGCTGTGCCCCAGCTGCATGGAAAAAGGGGCAAGGTCACCTCACACAAAGCCAACCACAATAGCACCTCGCCAGACCCCGCTTATTTAACCCCTTTCCTAGGATTTGGGGCACAATTCCCATACAAGGCAGCTTGCGACACGGCTGGAACTCCAGCCCCGTGGCTATGCCTGCCTCTGGGCAGCCTAGAGCCCAGGCCGGAGAATTTAATAAGCCTGAAAATACATACACAGGCATTTCCCTTGGTTAATGCTCAGTAATAAGAGAAATAAGCTACCTACCACTGCAGTGAGGATGTGCAGCTAATTAACTTTCTAGGACTCACAGATGAGCAGGAAAAAGCGTATTAAGAAAGGGAACTTCTGCTGGGCATGCCTCTGAGGAATTGGCAAATTGCATAAGAGGAACCTTGATTCCGATTATAAATTAATACCAGCGCCAAGACCCAGCGCGCTTTTACCGCTGCAAGAAATGATTAACCCATCAAAGGCAGCTCCAGGCGGCTCAGACGGGAGCGCGGGTGACAACCGTGACATCCTCGGCGTGACGCTGGGACCCGCCACCCCTCAGCGGCCGCTTCTGGGGCGGTTTTTCCCCTCTGAGCATCACGGCGCGCTTTGCACCTGTACGCAGCGCGTTAGCGATCGCCTATCTGGTTGCCCTGGTGCTCCAGCTATGCGCTATTAATTGATTTCCAGCAGCCTCCCCAAAACGGAGGCCTCGAGGGCTGATTCTGCTCGTTTTTAACGCCGAAAGGAGCCTGCAGTTGCCTTAAAGCCGTGGGGCCTTGGGCTTAATTCCCCCCACACATGACTTGCAGATTCAGAACGGGATTTATCCACATGCTCGCGCTGCAGCCGGGGCCAAACCACGGCCGGCACCGCGGCTCCAAACGGGACAGAGCCCCTCGCACGGCGGCTCATCGGCTTCAAGGCCCTCCCAAGAGCTCACCAAAAATAACTCAAAATCTGCTGTGCGAGACGCCCGGTTCCAGCCCTCGTCCTTCCCAACAGCTGGCAAGCTCCCATGGGATGAGAGCATCTACGAGGCCAGCAACCCCCTGCGCGAGGCGGCGGCGGTGCCTCCGAGGTGTCCGGGGAGCACTGCAGGGACAAGGCAGGGAAACAAGGCAGGTTTCCATTTGCAAGCATGTTAACCAGATGCAGCCCCTCGTGCAAACCCGTCCTGCTGGCCGTGATCCCCCGCGCTCCTCAGCTCCAGCCGGCCCATTAGACCCCAATGCAGGAGCAAAAGGAACCCCGGCCCCGGCCCCTGCTCCAGCACCCGGACGAGCTTTTAGGGCCACTTTGGCTACTGCTCGCTTTAAACCTGCAGCCCAGGCTGCCCATCACATGTCGCTTCATTGATTTGCTCTGAGCTCAGGAAAAACAAGCCCTGTGCGGAGCTGACAAGAAAAACACGCAGCGAGGACGGTGCCTGCAGGAGCGCCCTGCGCTCCGAGCGGCGTTCCCTGCTCACCCCATCCCATGGGAGGCTGCTCGGCAGCAACTCCCAACTCCGGGATCGCCCCGACAGCTGCCGCTCTCCATACACAGAACAAAGCTCCCGAGGAAAGGGGAGCCTGGAGGCAGAGCAAGCGGATACGAAGCCTGACCGTGCTCCAAGCGCAGCGCTCCGTGTCCCCCATCCTGCTCCACCAGCGCAGAGCTCCTGCTCCCAGGAGCTGCTCCAGGCAGCGACCAGATCCAAAATGTGGGAATATGGGGTTTGGTTGGAGCACCTTGTGTGCACGGAGGTGGGTGCCAAAATAAAGGCGAGACCCTCGTAGATGCACTGGGGTCCATTTGGCCCCGGTCTCGCTCTCGCCTGCGGTTTCTCTCCTGGGCTGGCATCTGCCACCCCGTACCAGCAGCGAGAGGACGAGCAAACACGTTGCAGGCTTCCAGCAGGGAAACGGCGATGATGATAAAGATGCAATAGATTAGCTCTGTCTTCTGCGAGGAATTTAATGACTGCGCCTGTTCAGCATCATTAAGCAGTTTGTCCTGGGGGATTAACCCTCCCGCCGCGCAGCTCCGCAAACACCCGGGGCCTCGCTGACCACCGGCTCCCACGGGGGAGAGCCGGGGGGGCTGCCGCACGCAGCGCCCACGGGAAGGGCTCGGCAAGGGCTTTTACTGCCTGTTGCTGCCCAGCAAAGCCGTCCCGGAGCGGCGCCGGGCGCGCAGGGCGGCCGGCACTGCCAGCCCCTCGGGAATTCAGCTCAGTCTCACCCAAAGTGGCCTGGCCTGAAGGGAATGTGAGGGCTCAGCACTTGTGTGACCAGTAAACGCCAAGGAGGAACCCCAAGGGAGGTCCTTTTTGAGCCAGTGTCACCTGTGCCCGGAGCCCCGGGGCTGCCTCTCGGCCGGGCAGCGGGTGCAGCCTCCACCGCTCCCCACGTTCCTTGCAGGGCATCCCTAACATCACCCCATCCCGGGCGGATCCCGGGGCGAGGGTGGCAGGAGCGGGTCCCTCGCTGCCCCCGCTCCGGCCGCCAGCATCACCTCATTGCTCTTTGCAACACGAGAATCCCCTTTCCCAGCCCAAAATCCTTCCCCACATCCCGAAGCGCTGGCCGGGAGCGGGCCGGGCGCCGCAGCCGCTTATCTGCTGCGCTGGGAAGTGCCAGCTGCAGCAGCTGAGCAAACAGGGCGCTCAGCCCGCGAGCGGCCAGCGGGACACCCGGGCACCGAAAACGGGAGCCGAGGGCCAGGGTTGGCAGCAACGGCCCCCCGGTGCTGCCAACGGGTCCCCAAATGGGAACCTTGCACTTTGCAGAAACCCTTCTCACAAATAACCTCCCCTTCCATTACAAAAAAACCATCGATCTTTGGAAGTTTGTGGAGCTATTCTTAAAGGCTGCTAAGACATTCATATGTTTTTCAGCTCCACGAGCGCAACAGCTTTTGATTTATTTATATTTTAATAACGCTCTTGTGACACGGGGATGGCTCATTCAATTTGGAAACGCTCCGAAGAGCGGCAGCTCTGCAAATCAAACCCCTGGGCCGAGGCAGAAGGTCACACCTGAACAGCTTGGAAAGCTTCGCCAGCGAGAAGAACAAAGCCACAAGTGCGAAAAAACGAGATGAGCAGGAAAAGAAGCGAGCAGACAGCCTAAAGCCACGCTCAGCACGGCGGGCCACACTGGGAATCACAAAAGCAGTGTCACTAAATCGGGGACAGAAGGCAGCGTGTGACCAAGCTCTGTTGCATGGGGAGCTGCAGGAGGTGGCAGGGGAGCCCTGTGGCCACAGGAGGTGTCACCGGAGCCCCATGGCCAGATGTTCCCCGAAGGCAGCGTCCCCCCTCCCGGCTCCGCGCTGCAGGGAACGCATCAGGCTCCATAAATCCCAACGTCGCCACAAAGAGAAAACTGGATTAAGGTAGGAGGGAAAGGAGGCTTGAACATCTACTTACCAGCACGGGGATGAGCAGGTCGGCAAAATAGACGAAAGCTGCGCCCAGGACAAAGCCAACAGCCACGGGGAGGAAGGCGAAGGCTCCGAAGCTTCCAGACTCCTCAGCCATTTCAATGGCCGGGGCCAGGAGGGACCAGTAAGAGGCTGCCAACATGACCTACGAGACAGACAACGTGCGCATGAGAACACGGCAACGGGTGCCCTGGCAGGGACCCGGCGAGTAAGCATGAAAGCTGCTTGCTGGGCAGGGCTGGGTCTTTTATGAGGGGGAAACTGAGGCACGGAGCAGAAAGCAGCTCTCAGGCTCGCTCAGCGAGGCGGTGACAGCAGCAGAACCCAAGGCCACCCTGGCTGGTGTGCGAAGGGAAGAGCCCGGGGGGCCCCATCACACGTGCCCAGTGCCACATGTTCCCCCCTCGCTGCAGCAGGAGGGTCCCTCTTGCTCCCGGAATCCCTACGACATTCCCGGAATCCCTGCGACATTCCCGGCACGGCGCTCGGCGGTGCCGCAGAGCCCGGCCCGGCCGGCCCTCCTGCCGAACGCGCTCCGGCTGGTGACAGCCCTGCACTTGGCAGGAACACGATCATTAAACCTTAATAGTGACATTAAAACCGGCTTCCTGGTGGAACAAATCACTCACGGACGGGGAAGCGAGTTTTTCCATTACTTTTCACCAAACTAGACTTCCGAGCCAAGGGGGAAAAAAAAAAAAAAGGGGGGGAGAGAAAATGAGAAAAGAGAAAAAGCCAAAGGGAAAACGAAGCACGGCAGGTTGGGTTAATTCAACAGGAGATTATCAATAACCACAGCCCCGGGACTCCCTCACCACAGGTCTCCCACCACTCCAGGATCGGGCTATGGAAGCCCCTGGAAAGGCTCCCCGTGGCACTGAGCAAGGAGAAATCTCCCTATGCAATCATCCCTATGCAAAGCAGGGAGCAGGGAATTGCAGGAGGATGCAGCGAGCCAAAACCCCGGGCCCTTTCCCCCACCCAAGGGTCACTATGAGCATCCTGCTTCGAGCACCTGCACGGACTAATCCGAGAGCAGCGAGTTCTCCACCCCAGCACCAACGTGTCCCTGCATCCCCCGGATACCTCCTCAAGCCCCGGATTTATCTCGCGAGACGGGATACAGACTGCAAATTTCACAGCACGACATCCACAAGCAAACAGAGCAACCTCATTCCCACGCTGGGCTGGCCAGGCTCTACAAAACCAACCAGTCTGCTGCAATTTAAGTTTTGAGGTTTACAAGGCAGGGCACGTGCAGGCAGCAGCAGCAGGTGCCCTCTGACCACGGGAGGGCTGGGGACACGGCAGTGCCACCAACGTCCCCCTTGCTGCCTTTAGCACTCCAGGCCCATGGCAAACCCAGCAAGCGGATTCCAGAGGGGCAGGAAAGAATCCCGGATAGCGCCCGGAGCCAGAGCCCTGGACATGCACGTTACACCCTGGGGCAAGACACGAGCTCAAAATCAGGGATGTGAGCCCCAGATCAGGGATCAGGATAGTCCCGGATGGGCTGGCCCAGTGCCCGCTCTGCAGAGCTGGAGCCAGCCTGTTTCCAAGGATCCAGGAGGGATCCTGCTCCTCCCGGCCTCCCTGCACAGGCATTCGCCTGCGGAAGAGAAGTGCGTAATAAGCTACTGCATTTTAAATCATTTTCAAAAGAAGGAGCGAGAGGCCTATTGCTGTAGACACCAGTCCCGGGGGGATTGCATAAATTGCAACTCGCTATGAGTAAGAAGAAAGCGGGCTGTCACGTTAGACTTGGGCACAGCTGTCAAACTTCGTATTTCAAATGCCACCCCCTTTAACAGACAACCACACACCCAACATGGAAATACAAGCAACAGGGAAAGGCTTTGCAAAATTATATTGTCATCTTACGTTAAGATATCGTTTCCCCGCGGAAAACAGAGGCATGGCAGTGCTCAGCCTCCTGTTAGTGCCGGAGCCGATGCTCCCACCGCTCCCGGGCTCTGGGAGAGCAGGACCCAGCTGGGAGCTGCCCCAAAGAGCTGCGGCTTCTCCCGCCGCTGCCCGCACGAGCCGAGGGGGAAGAGCAGGTTATTCCTGTGTGTTTTGGTGTGGAGGGACCGCCGCCTCTCCATGCTCAAAGGGAATGAGGATCCCGGGATTGGGGAGAGTGGGAATGTAACAGCTACACAAGGAGGGTTGGAGGAGGGCAGAGGAGCAAGCAGGGAGTCCAGGAGCTCCGGCCAGGAGAGCCCTGCACGCAGCCCGGATCCCGGATCCCGGCTCGCCGCCCGTCCCGGCCCCGTTGCAGGAGCGTCTGCCCCAGGCCCTGGCGGCGCCCGGCTGCCCTCCCGCAGCACCACGTTCCCCTCGGCAGCCCTTCCTGCACAGCGTTACAAAGAGCTGCTGCCAGCGAGCTCATTAAAGGATAAATCACACCCAACTGCAAGTCTCCCTAATTGTCCAACTCGGACCACAACCTTATTTGAAAGGCCTTATAAGCGTCGAGTTAATACGATTATCTGGCTGCGCACTCCGTCCCAACAACAGCTTTATTATCCCTTTCCGTAAACACGATACTAATCGCTTTTCCCGGGCGTTCCTACGTTTATTAAGCGTCTCCCCCCACCTGCTGTGACAACTAGACCAGTTAACACGGAGCTGTCGCAATCTGTTTCTGTCCCCCAAAGGCGCCGGCTGCAGGCTGCAAACGGCTCAAGAGAAGATGGAAAAGCAGGATGTTGTGCAAGGGAGAAGGGCTGATGGAGCCCACGGCTGCAGCGGCTCCACTCGCATCCCTGCCGAGGGACATCTCCAGGGAACGGGGCCGGGATGCTCCCCTTGGCAGTTGCTTGCACCAGGCTGGTCCTGCTGCTTCTCCAAGCTTTCCCCTTCCAGCATTCCCTCCTTCGGAGCAGCAGGTCCCCCGCGAGCTCCCACCAGCTCCTGGGTCCTTGAGCACCCGGCATATTTTCACGTGAGACTCTGGGAATCTCCCGTCTCCTCCAGGGATCTGTCAGCGCTGCCTCCAGGAGCTGCCTCCTCTATTGCCTTTCTCCAGGGAAGATGCACGTGGCCAGAAAAGCAGCCCGTGCGAAAGCTGCATCCCCAAGGGAAGCCCCACTGTGCCCCTTCCCCGTGCCCAGCCGGCTGCACCTCCCAGCTCTGGAGCCCTGCCCGGGGGCCAGTCTCTCATCCACAGCTTTTTGCAGATGCACCGAGCCCGAAGGCTCCATCTCGTGCATCCAAAGCCCCACCGCAGACAGGAGCACAGGGCTCCACACGCCAGCACCACCGCACAGCAGGATGGCGGTAAAGGCAGAATCCGAGTTTCCCATTTTCCCGGGAGCCGGCTCCGCGCACGAGGCAGGACGCCTGCCTTGGCTCCGCGCACATAAATAAAATACGAGGCCACTCGGGCGGCCGCGAGCGCCCGCACGGCGCCTGCCGTCTCACGCAGCCGGGCCCCAGGGCAGCGGCAATCCCGGCGCCACCAGCTCCCATTCCTGCAAATTCCACACGGAGCCTCCATGCTCCTGCACCCAGTGCAAGGGCACCGCAAAGCTCCAGGCTGCAGCGGCGCAGAGGGCAGGATGGGGGGCGCAGAGGGAGCCCAAACCCTTCCCTGGGCTCCGTGAGCCTAAGCAGAGAGGGCAGCTGCTCCCACGAGGCAGGGACGAGCAGCCCAGAAGACAAGAGGGGATTTGTTTTGCCTCCCTACCTGGCTAGCAAGGGTGCTGCAGCCACAGGCACGGGCACGGTCGCGAGATGGAGCCTGGAGAAAGACTGAGGCGGGCTCCAGACCCCGCTGCCTCGTGCCGACAGGAGCAGGACAAAGCAGCCACATCGCTGCTGGATCCCTCCCTGCTCCGGCAGCAGCCAGCACAGTCACAGCGGGACGAGCGAATCCAGGGCTCCGTGTCCAGCACAACTGCTGGAAATACTCCGAGGCCACTGGCAGCAGGACCTGCCCATGCAGGGTGCCTGGCACCCTCCGGCGCTGCCCCAGCTCTGCCCATGTCCTCTCGGGCACCCTCGGCTCTCCCTGCACACAAAGAAACCAGAAATAATCCCCTGCACGCAGCAGATCTTGTCACGCTTCCATGGGGCCGATGACACGAGCACGGAGGCTTCAAAGACCCTGCCATCCTAATGATGTGCGGTGCTAGAAAAGCAAAGCCTCTTAGAGAGCAAAGGGAGATTCCCATCGGCAAGGCGGGAAAGAAAAACGCAAGATGAGAGGCTCTGATGACATTTTGCCTGCCAAATTCCTTAGCTTGACTTCATTAAGGCTCCACAACAAGTGGCCTCAGAAGACCAACGTGAATTGCTGATGCCGTTTCAAGCAGCACTGAAAGGGAATATCTGACGCCTGGCACGGCTGGTGCTCGGGACAAAGGGAAATGAGAAAACAGGGAGCAAACGGCCAGGACCAGCCACGCGGGGCTGCAGGGAAGGGGCAGCAGCACCTACATGGGCATCCTCCTCCTCCTCTTGCTGCCCAGGCAGAGCCAGCACCTCTGGGCTCAAGCCGCGAGAAGAGCAATCATCTGAAATAAATAAATAAATATGGCTTTTATTTAAGAATATCGAGATTTAAGAGAAAAGCCAGAATTCCACATCAGATGCCCAAGAAACTGAAGCGTGGTCTCCATGGAAACGGAGCAGCTCCGAGGCTGGAGCAGGGAAAACTCTCCATTCTGGCCCGTTCCCGGAGAGGGGACTGGGGTAGGGAGGCTCCGCGCCCGGCGGGAACCGCGGGGACACGCAAGGGAGCGGAGGGTCCCTGTGGCATGGGCAGCATTCCCGGGGCTCCCTGCGGCACAGGCAGAATTCCCGGGGCTCCCTGTGGCACAGGCAGAATTCCCGGGGCTCCCTGCGGCACAGGCAGAATTCCTGAGGCTCCCCATGGCATGGGCAGCATTCCCGGGGCTCCCTGCGGCACGGACAGCATACCAGAGGCTCCCCGTGGCACGGGCAGCATTCCTGGGGCTCCCTGTGGCACCGGCAGCATTCCCGGGGCTCCCGAGCTCGTCACACCAGGGATGGAGACGGGAACAGGGACAGGCACGTGATGCCTGCCCGGCTGGCCCGGGAATGGCGGCACCTTTGCCGAGAAGGCGGCAGCGATTCCCGGCTCCGCGGCGCCAGGGATGAGCAGACGAGCAGCTACCAGGATAGCAGCTACCAGGATAACTCCATTTTCAGAGCCCACGGAGCACTGCACATACGGGATTTCAAGCAGCCCAACTCAAACATCTCGCAGGTGGTCCCGATGGCATCGCACACGTCCCTGGGGACAACGGCAGTGCCAGGGGTGCCGCGCTAAGAGCCAGAACAGGCTTCGAGAGAACTACGTGTCTCGAAGCGCAGAGGAAGGAGGGTTGCTGGCTCGGACCGAACAAAAGCGGGATTTAATGAGAGAAGACTGAATTTCAAAGAACCGATATCACAGATAAAGAGGAGAGGAAGTGGAGCTTTGCCTCCCTGTTCTTGCAGAACCAGCCGCACGTATTTGCCTAGGATTTACATTAGAGACATCGGTGTTTCCCCACAAACCCGTCCAGCAAGGGCCCCGATCAGAGCGACGCCGCGGCAAGCGCAGGACGAGGAAGCACCTTCTACGGGGAGGAAAAAGAGCGAGAACAGCCCAGGGAGCTTCACAACAGGCAGCTCCACATCCTGTTTTCTCCTTTGACGGGAGGAAACCGGCCAACACACACAGAGCGCGCGGCAGCCCGGAGCGATCCCTGGTCCCAGAGCGATCCCTGATCCCGGAGCGGCTCCGGCCACGTGCCCGGGAGGCTTCTGCAGCCCAGGCTCCTGCCGAGCACGGACACAGCTCGTCACACGTTCCTCTGCATTCCAGAGGGGCTGGGATGCCCTAGGGGGCACAGGGCTGCTCCGTACCCTCGCTCGCATCCCAGCTGGGATCTAGCACATCGCTGGCAGCCTGCCGAGGAATTTTGCGAGGATTTGTGCCTCGATACCTGAACTATCTTGTGGGCACGGGAGGATGCTCATGCAGACACGGATGCTGCACCATGGCTGCAACCAGGAGGGCTCTGCACCCAGGGCAGGGGCTGCAGCCCCTGCTCCCCAAGCCCCAGGGTGCCAGCACGTGTCCTGTGTCCCAGTCACGGTGCCTCCCTCCCCTGCCACCCCAGGAGGGCGATGTCCCCATCGATGTCCCCATCGATGTCACCGCAGAGGTGGGAGCCGCCCCTCGTGCCGCCCCGGCAGTGGCTCCCCAGCGTCACCCCCTTTGCAGAAGGGGCTCTGAGGTGCTCGCAAGGGACGAGAGCGGGTTCAGACCCAGCTGTGCCTTTTGAGGGGAAACTGCATGAAAATAAAACAGCAAATCTGGACTCAGCAATTCCCAACACAAGCGCTGCATTTATAAAAGATGAGCTGAGAACCTGCTGCAATAGATGAATCCAACTATTCACATCCCTAGCAAGCCCCAGTTGCATTCCCAGAGAAGACGTTCGAAGCAAACTCAGCTCTCTACTCCTTTTCCTCACCCACCAAGGCAGACTCTTGTTTAACAGGGTCGTTTTGTTCCAGGTGTTTGGAAGAGCAGGAGAGCTATGGTTTTCCTGGCTGTAAAGAGGGAGGAGCAGCCAGGAAAACCTGCAAGGCGCTGCAGCACTGGGGACAGGGATGCGGGGAAACCGGCACCTGCAGCATCCAGGAGCCTTTTTAGGGAAGGATGCCCTGGGTTCGGAGCCCCCGGGTCTTCATTCCCCCTCCAAAGAGATCCCAGCACCCAGGCTTTGCAGGAGGGCAGGGAGCAGCCGGGAGCAAGGAGCAGCAGCCCTGGGGGTCTCTCCTGCCCTCGCTCCTCACGCACGAGAGCACCAAGAGCGATTGCACTTACCCCCGCAGCAAAGCCTAAGCTCCCGTCGAGCACCCGCCTCTGGAAAAACAGAAACACGTCGGTAAGAGAAAACAGGCGGGTTACGGACCACAAAACACCAAAGGGGCAGCCGGGAGCCGCACCAAGGGAAGACCCGGACACGGAGCAAGGGCAGCCCCTTCCTGCCCTTTGCCGCAGGATGCTCCGCGCCCGGGAGAGCCGCATCCCGGGAAAGGCCAGGCACCAGGCGGGAAGCGGCAGGGCCGCCCCGCAAGGCCTCCCGGATCCCAGCACATCCCGCTGCTTCCCTCTCCGCTTCCCCCTCCGCAGTTTTCCCTTCTTTAGCACGTTCCCCTCCCCCAGAAGGGAAGCCAACACGCGGCTGCAAAGGGAACCTCGCTTAGCGAAGAATTCCTGCATAAATCATCAAAGAGACATCAATAATAAATGCTGCGGAGCAATTCCGAGCACAACAGCAACACGGGCCTCTAATTTGGGGATGCGAGAGGGCTTTAAAACCAGGAGCGTCGTCTGGCTCGAGGCCAGAGCAGGGCCTGCCCTGGATCCCACCACGGAGACGGGAATGGGAGCGGGTCACAGGGAGCAGGGCGCTGCTCCATGCGCATCCCTGTCCTCGCACCCAGGATGCGCTTCCAGGTCCTTGCGGGCTCTGCATCCCCATGGGCTCCCAGTGCATCCCAAGGGCAGGGCGGTTTTCCATGCAGCTCCGGGGCCACCGTTTCCCACTCCGGGAACGCGGAGGGCAGCGCAAGGGAGGTGCTTCCCGCTCGGCCCCCCCGTCCCGTCCCGGGGCTCCGGGCACCCACCTGGCCGCTGGAGACGACGAACACGAGCGCGGCGCCGGCCGCCGTGAGGCCCCACGTGAGGCCGGTGCCCAGCAGCGCCTGCAGCGGCGGCGCCCGCCCGGCGAGCATGGTGCCCGGCCGCGCCTGCCGCACGGGGCACCCTCAGGACCGGGCAGCCCCCCGCCCCGGGCAGCCCCCCGCCCCGGCTCCCACCGCCCCGGCTCCCACCGCCCCGGCTCCCCCCGCCCCGGCTCCCACCGCCCCGGCTCCCACCGCCCCGGCTCCCACCGCCCCCGGGCCCGACACCTTCAACCGGGCGGCCCCAGGACGTGACCCCAGACGGGGGAGCCCCAGGGACGCCCCCCCGGACCCCCAAGGGCCACCCAAGCCCCTGCTGCGGGGGGGGCACCCGCACGGGGAGCAGGCAGCCCCCCGAGGGGGGCGCCCGAGCCCGCAACGCCCCGAACACCCCCCGGGGACCCCGAGCACCCCCCGGGGACCCCGAGCACCCGCCGGGGACCCCGAACACCCCCTGGGGACCCCGAACACCCCCCGGGGACCCCGAGCACCCCCTGGGGACCCCGAGCACCCGCCGGGGACCCCGAACACCCCCCGGGGACCCCGAGCACCCCCTGGGGACCCCGAGCACCCGCCGGGACCCCGAGCAGGCCCCCGGGGACCCTCCAGCCCCTGGACTGTGACCCCCACCACCGAAAGCGGGGGAGGCTTCGGACGGGGGGGGGGCACCCCGGGCCCCAACCGGGTCCCCAGCCCCGCTACCGGGTCCGCCCGGGCCGGAACCGACGCCCCGGCCCCGCGCCCGGCCCCGCTCACCGCCCGGCACCGCCGCCACTTCCTGGTCCGCGCACACGTGTCGCTGCCGCCGCCCCGCCCACCCGGCCGCCTCGGCCAATAGCGGCGCGACGGGGGCGGGCCGCCCTCGGCTCTGCGTTTCGCGCGCGCTGCGGCGGCGTGAGAGAGGCGCGGGCGGGCACGGGAGGGCGGAGGCGAGTGCGGGCGGGCGCGGCAAGGCGGCGGTGCACCATGTCCCTATTGCACGGGACGCCCCTCGGGTGACACCCCCAGGGACGGTGCACGGTGTCCCAATGCACAGGGCACCCCCCCAGCATCACTGCAGGGTGACGCTCCCAAACATGGTGCACAATGTCCCCCATTTATTGGACACCCCCCAGCATCGCTGCAGGGTGACACCCCCAGACACGGTGCACGATGTCCCCAGTGCACAGGGCATCCCCTCAGTATGGCTGAATGGTGACACCCCCAAACATGGTGCATCATGTCCCCAGTGCATGGGACACACCTCAGCATCACTGCAGGGTGACACTCCTTGGACATGGAGCATGGCAGGTGACACCTCAGACATGGTACGTGGTGGGTGACACTCCGGACACGGTGCCAGGTGCATCTCACCTCCAGGAGCACTCATTACAAACACCAACCCATCGGTGCCAGCTGCAGCGGACAGGTCAGGATGCTGAAGTGGGATCGGGGCAGCTGATAAGGGAGCAGCTGGAGCCTTATCTACCTGCTGGAGCCGGAGCGGTCCCAGCCCAGGGGCCGGGGACAGCTGCGCTCTGCCCCGCGGGGCCTGACGCTGGCCCAGGAAGCTGCAGCCACACAGGGAGACACAGCCAGGGGGTTTCATGGGGAAGCGCCCATGGCAGCAGGGCAGGGTGCACAGGGAGCCGGCTCTGCTCCAGCGGCAGCTCCCGCTGCGGGGGTGCCAGGTCAGCAGGACGGGCTCGGCCCTTCCGCGGTGTCGCTCTCCCTTATCAAAGTGTCTGTCTTGGAGCAGCCCTTACTCCACATCCCCCACTGCTGCTGGAAAAGGTCAAGGCCATTTGCAATCCCCCCCTCCCCCGATTTAGGTTTTAATCAATTTTCCCCTCTAATTGCCTCTATCCTTCATTAGCTCCTTTAAAAAGCCAGATGCAGCCTGAGGTGCCAGCTGGGACAGGCAGCAGGGCCGGAGCGGCCGGAGGCTCCGAGGGCTGCGGGACCTGCGGCAGATGCAGCAGGGGATTTCAGAACCCAGAAACGCGTCCCCGTCCCGGCTCTGCACAGACCCTGCCCGCCCTCCCTGTGGTGTTTTGGGGATAGAGGCCACCCCTGCCCTCCCCGACGTCCCCGTGTCCCCGCGCTCCTTACGCCACTCGCTTCCAGGACAGGGGTCGAGCAGCGCCGCTTCCTAAGGGAGCCTTGCGGAGCAGCTGGAAGCGGGTGGCAGGAGGCCGGGAAGGGCTTGGGAAGCCGCGGTCACGCGATCCCCTATCGATAGCGCGGCTGCATGGGAAGAGGCCACTTCACCCAGATCCGTCGCCGCCACTAAGTCGCTTCCCACGGGGCCGGAGCTTCCCAGGCGAAGGGACAAAGAGCAGCGTCTCTGCCAGCATGGAGCAGCTGCGGGGCCGCCGCGACCACCCAGCGCACGGGGCAGGCTCAAGTGCCGCCCGCAGACCGAGCGCCATGAAGAGCCACGTGCGCAAAGGGCTCGATCCGGGCGCCCCGCCGCTGCCAGCTCCCGGCTGCAGGGATCTGCTGGCGCCACCCAGCCCTCCAAATCCTTAGCTTTCCTTGCAAGGATCCGACGGGTCTGCAGGCAAGGGAGCATCCTCCCGCCTCAGACATCCGGGCTCTGATACCAATTTCCACACTGTTGTACCAGGGGAAGCTTCTTCCCCTCTCCGGAGGATTTCCTGGGCTCACAGTGACCCTCCCTCATGCCCCAAGACCCCCTGTCTTCAGATGCCGCAGGGGGAGCGAATGTCTGAGCAGGAAGGAGACCCCCCAGCCGCCCTCGCACAGTGGCCGGCCCCCCTCCCGGCCTTTCATTCCAAGCTCCTCTTAATTTCCTGCTCTCTGCTGTCTCCTTAGTAAGTGATGGAAAGGTGGGGGAGGAAGCGCTGTCCTTTAATTGCCTTACAGGTCTCACACAGCCCGATCAGGGCGTTTCTCCTCCCAAACTCCCTCCTGCCCCAGTGGCTCCGCTGCATTAACCCCCACCTTTAGTGCAAACGCCGCCCGCTCCTCGCAGCCACCGCAGCCTGTCCCTGTATCCCCATGGAGGCAGCCGGGACCTGCCTGGCCCTTCCTTTGGTTGCAAGGGGCTCCTGGAGCCAAGATATTCCCAGCTTCTCAAGAGACATGAGGTTGCAGACACCTCAGGTCCCACTGTCACCATCCAAGAGCCATTGCCCTGCGCTGTCCCTCCATGAGAGCTCTGGAGACATCAGCGGGTGCTGGCACCACTGCTGCCAGCGCCAGGAATTGTCTCCTTCCTCTGCACAGCTGCCCTTCCAGGCACCCCGTCCCCTGGTCCGGGAGGTGGAGGGTGACAGCATCGCATGGTGCTAGTGCTGGGGGGGCTGCCAGGACAGGGAGGTGCGGGCACTGCAGGGCAAGGTGTGCACAGCAGGGCGGGCGGGGGGCACTGCGAGGCAGGGGCACATTGCAAGGCGTGGGGGCATTGCAAGGCGTGGGGCACTGCAAGACAGGGGTAAATACCAGGTGAGGAGGGAATTGCAAGGTGTGGGAGGCACTGCAAGGCGGGGGGGGCGGTTATTGACAGGCAGGGGG